CCTGCCCTGCTCTCTAGCAAAGAGCTTCAACAAAATAATTGCAAGAAAGGTGCAAACAGAGGAAAAACAGTGACTGCAATCCTCTCACTCAATATTGAATTACTCTAGGCTACAGGAGGGATAGAGATACCTCCCTTTAAAATCAGGCAAGTGTTTTCTCTGATGATGGAGGATTGATAGCCAGCAAGGGACCAGGACAAACCATAATATACTAAAAAACCCAAATATGGTCCACCTCACAAAGAGCCAATGAGAGKGCTGAGCCTGGCTGCTGCTGATGCTTCATTTCTAAGCAAAGTGGGCCTTGGGTGCTCTGTGCCTCACTGTGAGCCTGATTTCCAGCGTCCTGCTCACTTCAGGTGCACATTCCCTTCTGAATGGACAGCGGGAAGGAGGAAAAAGCTGCAGCTTAAATGAGCAAGGATCAGTAACTGCTGAGCCAGGTGGTGGGGGATTCTTTCCCCAGGGCAGGTGGAATGGAACGCAGARAGACGCTTTATTCCAGTTATTTCAGCCATGGGAAGTGCGGATCTGTGCTCCTTCCCAGCTTGTGGCATGCAAACCACTCTCCCAAGCAGGAAAAACACTTCCAAGTGGCAGATATCCCATTCCATACACAACGGTGCTCCTGAGCCCCGGTGCAAATCCACAGGGCTCTTCCTGTCCGCGCTCTCCAGCCTGTAATTATCTTAAAGGCAACAATTAAAACTATTGAAACACATGTGATGGGTTTAGGGAGCATAGCYTGGCTAATCCCCACAAGCATCCCGGAGGAGCGGAAGCCAGGAGTTCCCAGGGTGCTGGTGCTTTGCCGGGCAGGTAGGGACTGAGCAGAGCTGCAGGGCACCAAGMTCAGGGTGAGGAGGTGGCAGCAGCCTTGTCTCCAGGCAGTGTGGGACCCCGGGAGTCACCCAGCAGGTAGAGGCCAGGCYGGTGCCAAGGGCTGGGGGGGTGTAAGAGGGTACCCCTGCTCCTCACCCCACCCTGACACTCTCCAGGGTCACACAGAAAGTCAGTGACAAAAAGACCCCATCCCCAAAACCTTTTGTTTAAGCTCTGATTGCAAACTTCAGTGRCAAAATATTTCATCTTCCTTTTCTCACATCAGTCCAGGACTTAGCACAGCGACTCCTACTCCATTCCCTRTGTCAGATACCAAAATAAAACCATGTTCAGACACGGCTCCTTCCCCCTTCCCTATCCTTTACTGCAGCATCACGCTGTTGTTTCATTTCACGAGTAAAAAGTTCTGTAAATACCTGTGATGTTCTGCTTGAGGAGTCCCAAGGCAAGAGYAAAGAGATGAATAGCAAGGAATAGCATGAAATATCACTGACCTGTACTCATCAATTTTTAATACATTAGTTTTTCAGGAATCATCATTTTTGCTATTTTTCTGAAAGCATCACCCTCCTGGAACCATATTACAGGCGATTTTATATTCTGCTTTCTTTTAGAATTGGTTTCTAACCTGCCCTAAAAGTGCTGAACCAGCTTYGGGAGCCTGAAAATGCAGGGAACTACAGAGCAAAAAAGAACACAAACTCTTTGTTCTCAGTATCTCGTGATCTTAAAGTGCTCGGGGTGATCTCAGGGGTGTCAGGGCAAGGACAGAGCCAACAGGGCAGCTGCTGGCTGCTCTCTTTTCCAGCCCTCTTCATATCCCCCATATCACTTTTTTTTTTTTTTTTTTTTTTTTTTTTTTTTTTTTTTTTTTTTTTTTTTTTTTGTTATGGTGTTTTTTAAATATTCCTAGAATCTTCAAAATTTCTACATTTTCTTGTTCTCCCAAAACAGAAACACAATTTTAACTGTTGGACTAAAAGTGAGTCATTTTGCCTTCAAAATACCTTTTTTAAGGTTTTTTTTTTCAGTTTCTGCTCAAAAGAAACATGTGTTCACTGAAAAGAAAAAATCTTTTGTTATAATCCAAAGAAATTCAAATTCTCTTTCAAGTATTTCATTTCTGAATGCTTACTTTCTCCTTTTATTTTTTTGCTTTTCCTGTCTCATTTCTTCCCCTTTCTCATGTCTAAAATGCAAATAATTGGGAAAAAATCTTGTCCTGAGCCACTTCTGCTGCTGCTACCACCAACAGCCCCAAGGATGCTGCCAGCCCTGTGGACCCCTCASCAGGGAAGGAGCCTGCAGAGTGTCCCAGACTCCTTCCTGTCTTTCCAGCTCCCTGAGGGTACCCATCCAACTGCATCAAAATCACAGGACAGACACAGCCACGGGGCTGGTGGGGACAGAAAAACCCACAGCAAATCCAGCTTTGGGTTGATAGGACCCCAAAAGGGCTGTGGCTGTTTTATGAACGGCGTGAGGAGTTACCAAGGCAGAGGAGCATCACCTGGGTGGGGGCTCAAAGTGCTGCACTGCCCCAAATTGTGGACGCCCTCACAGGCAATGTGTCTGTCTTGTATTCTCTCTATATTTATTACACAAGTTCTATGCATCTCAGATGCATAATTAAATGTTTTTATTCACAAAAAAAAAAAAAAAAAAATTAAAAAAAAGCATATGCAGCTGTTGAACACACAAAGTTTTCCCTCATGGCCCATCTCTGACCAAGGCAATCCTCTGAGTGAGCTGCATCTTCCCCCACCACTCTCACAAGCTGCACAGCAGACAGCCAGTGTCTTTCCATGTATGTATTGATTAACAGCAGCATTTTAGGTAAGTGAAGCCCAGTTGCCTTTGAGGGCAAAAATAATTTGGGTTTAAGTGTCATTCAGTGTTGTGGACATATGTCAAATTTTAATTGGGGGTTATTTTCCATCATGTGAGCATTTGACACTTTATTTGCATTTCTAGAGGGCTTCAGTCTATTTTAAGCTGGGAAAGGGAGAGAGCTGCAGGGCTGGTRGGAGCTGCAACTTCCCTGGGAAGCACACCCTGAGCTGGGAGATTAATACTGACCACAGGAACAGCACAGGGATGGGGATTTAGTGTTCCTGTTTTTTCACAGCAAGAATAAAAACAACTGRGGAAGCCAAGAAACAAGTGAGAGGGATGGAATCGTATCTCCAGATCGTCAGATCAGCAGTCCATAAGGCAACAAATTTCTGGACACGATGAATGCAGAAGAGGGATGTTCAGCAGCCTGTGTAGCCCAGAGATCAAAGAAAGTGATCTCTGCCTTTAAAATGTATGAAGCTGAMAGATCTTAAGGGCAAATAAACGTACTTTGATTGCAGGGCAGGGATCTTGGAAGTCACATACCTTTAATTTCCTTGAGCTGGTTGCCTTCTCCGTGAAGGACACGCACAGAGTGATGAATTTTCAATGGAAACTGGTTTTGCCTCATTTTCCACTTCTCTTCTGTTACAAGGAAAGAAGTGCCGAGCTCCAGAGGCCTACCTGCCTCTTCCTATGCAGACAGAAAGGGCTGGGTGTCTGTGTTTAATTACAGCCTGAAAGAACTGCATTTAAAAGACAACAGAAAGCTATTTAATTAATACTTATCATTAGCACACATAGCAATGCCTAGCAGCAAATTGCAACAACAAAGCAGCTCCTTTTTATTTTTTTTCCTTGCACTTCAGATAAATTGAAAAAAAAAAAAAAGAGCAAACGAATTTTTTTGCAGCACATTTGAGATGACTTTTTACAGAGTGAGAGTAGTGGGATAGCAGATATCACCCTAGGAGAGCAGAGATGTCCAAGGGCAGGCTTCTCCATCTCTAGTTTTTCAATATCCAGCTCTCTTGGCCAAGAAGCTTATCTTCAYCCATCCATCTATCTATCTTTCTATCTCAGCATTTACACCAGGCACATCCCCATGTCTGAGCGCCTACTTGTCTTCATACCTGTCCATAAATTACATGGGGCCTCCAGGGCATTATAAATAATAATTCAACTCCCAAACCTTCAGAACACTCTTTTAAAGCATTGGCTTATAATTCAACACGTTGTGGGCTCCTCCCAGCCCATAAATGGAGTAGAAGGACGTGACAGCCCGGTCAGTGGAGTAATTGCCTCAAAAGCAGTTCCTTGGTGGCCACRAGCTGGAAGATGGGGATGGACATTGTGGCAAAGCACAGGGGAAGGCTGGACTGCTCTGCTCATGGAAAATAGCACCCTCACCCACAGCTCATTTGGGATTTCATATTCCTCTAAATTTTATGTCAGCCAGAGCAGCAGTCAGCCTCTCATCTCATGTCCCTCTTTAATGAATACATCTCTTAATGGCACTATTAATGATTGGAGTGTTGAACCACASCATGGCTCTGMTGGTGGRTGAAGTYTYCATGGGGCACAACACCATGCTGGCTCAGAGGCAGATGGCTTAAAGGGTMGACCCCACATGTAGACCAACAGATCCCAAATCACACTGGGACAGGCACCCCAATCCCTTGTTGGACATGCCAACTGCAATTAAGTTTGGCTCAGGATAGCAAGTTGTTTTGGTACCTGTGAGTTATTGAGCAGAAACTCCAGTTGAGTTGTGACCCTACTCCTCTATCCCAACACATTGCATCTCCATCCCAAGACAATATTTTCTCCTTGAGGTACGTAGAATTAAGGACATGTCCCAGCCATGTCCCTCAGTTGGGGAACATGGGGTGCCCATGGACTATGGCTACTGGTTCATGGGCATCACTATCTCCTGGATCACATGTGTCAAATATGTTCAGGGTCAGGGAGATGAAATTGGCATTTTTTCTGGAGAAAAACATGAGAAGTTGATGTATGAGATGAATTATTTGATAAGCCTGTCCAGGGTTTGTGATAAGCTCTAGAAGGTACAGAACTAAACACCATTAACCTCAGTAGAATGTGAAGCTGCCAGAGCCTGCAGCCACCCCTGAGCATTAGGTGAGGAGGTATGACTTTTTGTGTGACTCTCCTCCCTCCATTTTCCACCTGTCCATCAACTAGGCCGACCTTCCCTCTCAGCCATACATGAGAATGGGCAAGCAGAGCCCCGAGCACCAGTTCTGGGGACAGAGTGGGAKMTCCCAGTGTGAGWGTGGCCATGGATGCCATGGTCCCCRAGCAGGTKGTGGGACACAGCAGGGGMCAGGTTCATGCCCATATCCCAGGCATTGGGCTRGCACGCACGGCTATGCATTTTCTCCTGTGCAAGTCAAGCCTGTCTGTGCTCCCTCTGCCTGGGCTCCAGGCATGGATCAGGCTTTTCCTGCTGTTCTTCTGTCCCAGAGATGGCACAGAGAGTTTTCACAGTGTTCTGCCCAAAAAAAATCTGGTTTGGGCTGGGGGAGAAGTAGCATCCTCACCCTGTGAAGGGATCCTCAGGGACAGCTGAGAATTAAATTCCTTTTCACCCTGCAATGAGGCTGGACCCTTTCCTCATGCCACTGCTTCAGGGCACTGGGATGGGAGCATGGAATGTATTCGTCACGCTTTCTGCTTGCAAAACACACCAGSATTTTGGCGGGCTGCAAGTCCAGCCCACTCACTCTATCCTTCCCATTGTTCCCCAGTGAAGGGTCAGGGTCTTGCCCTGTGCCCTCCTGCCCCAGCCTCCCAATCTGGTCGTGAACAGACAGCCAGGTTTGCAGCCTCTCTTTTGGATGCAGAACTGRGTGCAATTTCAGGCCTCTCCCCTCTCGCAGCGTGTCTAAAGCTATGATTAAGGGCTAAATTACAACTGGGCAGCCACCCCTGGCTGAGAACTGCCAAATTAGGGAGGCAGCTGTTAAAGGTGGTGGGGTCCAAAGAGYATCACTTCTGCATCAATGAAAGGGGAAACTGATCATGGGGGTCAAATGGGATCGAGAAGTTTTTTACTGCCACCTCCAGTGACATCCTGCACTACCCCCAGTGCAAAGCCATCCTTTTTCAGCAGGGTTATTCATGAGGATGAAGCTGTTGCTTAAATAGAGGTATTTTGCTGGTTTGGCTYTCATAGAAAGGTGAATAATGGCCTCATGAAACATCATTCCTGGACCCCAGGACCATATTCCTCCCAGCTGCTTGATCCATGCAAGTAGAGCTGATAGTATTAAAAACATCCAGGTGCTGTGGTTTTTACAYCATCTTCAGCTAAGCTGTTTCCCTCATCCCCGTTAATTGGGATGGGGCAGCCTCAGCCCCCACCCTGGAGGAGGCACAGGTYCCTCCTCTCCTGCAGGGTTTCAGTGGGATGGGAGGAGGTGGCACAGGGCCGGCTGTGCCGGAGGGAGCAGAGGAAAAGGCTGCCTGGGTGCCAGCAAGGCAGCTTGCAGMCCAGGCCAAGCTTCCCACTCTTCCCACATGTTCTGCAACATCCCAGGCTGAATCACTTCACAGAATTTACTTTTACCCTGTTAAATGCCACTAAACCTTCAAATTAATCCTCCCATTACAGGACTTCCTTTGATGTTAAAGGGGGTAATTCTTTTTTTTTTTTTTTTTTGATGGCAAAGGGGGATTTTTTCCCTCTGGTATAATTATTCCTATTTTTCTTCCCCCTTTTTTAGGCACAGAGATTCCTGCCAGATGCATGACTTGTGGAGGCAGCTCCCACACAGAGTATTTATATATTTATATGATGAGAACGTGGTATTGAAAGACCTGAAGTTTCAAGCAGAAGATGAGGGGAATTTCCCATTTCCTACTAGTTACAGTGGAAGTTGCCTGGGAAGAGTCTGCAGCAGGACTAGGACCAAAAACTGTGAGATACAGCACTGGAAAGTAGTTATTTAAGATAAGCATGTCTAGGGCTAACATTTGCTATTTATCACTATCACAGAGCACATTTCAATGTCTGGGAATGATCCCTGGCACCGCTTAAATTGAAAAAAGGATGGGTAAAGCAGATCTGCTCCACTCTTGCACACATTTCCTATTGAGCATCTTGGGTGTTATTGGGATTGCTGGGATGAATATCCCAGCACAAAGCCAGAATCAMTGGATAATGCTGAAGAAGCAGGCAGCTGTGAGTAGTGCTTAAGAAAGCTTTCTGTAAAAGCCCATAATGATGGAACAGGCAGGTTTACCCAGAGTTTCAATCAGTTTTTATGGATTACTAGGAAAAAGTGGATACAATTGCAGCGCTCTTTACTAAAAATCTTATGTAATTGTCCATCTAATTCAACTCTTCATTGAAAATTTTATGAGATAGTCCATGTAGTTCAACAGGGAAGTGCATTCTTGCTTACAAATCATTGCATGGAGACTCACAGTGTAGCATGGGGCTTTCCTGGGCGTGGAGAATGAGCCCTGAGAGGCATTGTCCAGCTGTGCTCAGCAGCTCAGGTTTGTGTGACTAACTGCCCAGTGATCCCCCCCTGCCCTGGGGTACAAACTGACCCCCCTGTGCTTCCCACTGCTGTGTCACAGCTTCAATCCGGCCCTGGAGCACCTGTGCCCAGTCCTGTCCCCGCTCCAGGGGAGTGGACCTGGTCTCCATYGCTGTCAGGGCAGTGATTTCAGGGGGGATTTGGGGAACCAGGCCGGCTTGGAGGAGGGCATCCTGAAATTTGGCYGCAGAGGCTGGAGCTAAGCAACACCGGGGAATGCTGGAAAGGAAAGAAAAGGAAGAAAACTTGGGTATAAGCAAGCTGTGAGCTGGAGAGGCTGCAGGAACAAGGGCTCTCCCTACCTGTGTGGCTGTGAGTAGTGGTAGTGAGCAGCCACGGCAGAGTGGGGGCACAGCAGGTACTGGTTCTCCTCCCAGCAGCGCCGCATGGCTCTCACAATGTCCTCATCAGAGGCTGAGCACGATCTCAGGGTCTCAGAGAGCTATGGGAAACAGAGAGGTTTGCACAGGGCATCACCCCCAATGCATTCCCAGCTGGGTTTATGCCACAGGCATTCAACAAAGCAGGTTGAAATAAGGAGGCTGAAGGATGGGTTTCCCCAGAGACTGAAGGAAAAGGGGGTGCTGCTGCAGCTGGGGGATGAGGCGCTGCTGCAAACAACCACAGGGATAGAGTGTGAGCAAGGGTTTCTAACAAACAAGTGCTGTGAGCGTGGGTGGGCAGGAGCCAGACTCAGCTCCTCAGCTCTGTGCTGCTATTCCCATGCTCTGAGGGAGATTCTCAGGACTTGTAAAGTCCTTCTCAGTGTAACTGCTCTTCTAGCTTTTAATAAAATTKTTTTTAGTATTTATCTTGCTGCAGCACAAGCAGGAATGGGCACTGGGCAAAGGCTTGTGACAGACAGTGTATGGGAAATTGGATAGGAAAAGGCAGGACTTTGCATCTGGCCTTCTCAAAATTTAAATATTTTTTCTTGAATCTCTCTGCTTTGTGTTTGTGCTCCCCTTTGCTCTAACAGCAAGGCACCAAACTCAGCAGACCCACTCCCAAACACCCAGTTAATGCCAGCACCCACTGCACGATGCCTCGGTGCRTGGCCAAGGATGGGGTAATTTCATATGCTACCTAAAGAACTGCAGGCAATTTCAAAGTTAGATTTGTGCAGAAGAGCATTCTTTAAAAAATAATAAAAAGGGGGTTTTAACATCTCCATGCATACATATTGCTGATATAAAACTTCTGTTCTGACCTCATACTTAAATTTTTGGTTGGACACTCTCCATTATGATATTTCTATTTTGCAAATGAACTGGAAACACCTGGTAGCAGTAATTCTCCTTACACACACACACACACACACACACACACACACACACACACATGCACAGTGTTGTGTGTGTGAGGAACTGACCTTCCTGTGCAAGTCTTCTGGCAGCTTCAGCCTTTTTGAGATGTTGAATTGCTCCATCATTGTTTTTATCAGGCAGCTGTCAGAGCCTGAGAGCAGCCAGAGGATCCTCTCCACATTGTAAGGCTCCTGGGATAACAAGGCAACAGGTGAGGAAATTGGAGTACCTGTCTCAGGGGGAGAGCATCCCTGGGGATTCTCWGATGTCTCATTAGGGCTGAGGTCCTACTGCTGTGTTTTTCTTGGTGGAAGCCAGGGTGGGCTTTTTGTCTTCCCTTTGCTCACCTMCATCCCAAGACAAGTCTTTGAGGACACAATGTCTTTTGAACCTCTGACCTGTCAGAGCAGTCTGGCAGTGACCATCAGATTAAAACAGAAAATGAAGGGATGACTGATGAAACAACAGAGTGACCACATCTGTACGATCGCCGTGAGGAGCCCAGGCTAATAACACRCTGTATATTGGAGAACCAGGAATATCCAGCTGTTTACTCAGTATGCAGATGCTCTCCTGCRTGACTTAATGAGACACCCAGCTCGCTGCAGGGCAGGCTGATAATCTTCAGGAACTTATAGGGCACATATAGGGCTTGACTGGCCTGTATGGCTGTGTAGCAATCAGTGTTGCAACACTGCAGAAGAACTCTATGCAAGACCATACAGGAAAGTACCAAATCAGTTTTTCTTTGCCCYGTCTCATTCCTGCATGTTCACAAACACCAACAAATATTCATCCAGGTGGTTTGGCTGAGATACCTTGTAGGGACAGACAGGACAAGGGGCACCAACCTAAAGAGTCCTCATCTCACCTTCTGGGCTCAAGTGCTGCGTTTGGATGAACTCTTGGTAACTTTTGGCACCTGACAGTACCTGTGACCTTTTGGCACTCCATCCTGTCCTGCCTTGTCAAGTCATCAGGACTTACTCAGCCTTTCGTGTCTTTATCTGGGTGTCTTATGGCCCCAGTTCTGCTCTTCATCTTSCCACCATCATCTCCCAGAGCCTCCAGCCTCTAATCTTCAGTCTAGTCTGGGTGCAGCCTGCCCTTTGCTCTAGGCTGTCCCCTGTTTTAGGCTGTCCTGAGAAGATAAGGTCAGCATGCCTGGACATCAGTGATCTGCTACTGGAGATGCCACTGTGCTCCTGACCTCCTCCTGTCCTTTCTGCTGCTCCCACATCCTTCCCACACTTCCCCTTCACCCTCCATTCCCACCAGCCTTGTGGTTTCCATTACAGATCACTGTGTTGACACCAGTAAGTTGAACTGGGCCAGGACACTGGTGCAAGTACCAGCCTTACAATCTAAATAAGGCTTTTGCTTCTGTCCCATGCCACCAGAGCTTTCCAGGAGAAGGCTGGGGTCCAGTTTGGAGTACAGGTCATGCTGGGTCAAAGTGTTGGCATGTGGGCATGTGCTGTGTGGTGCTTCCTGACCTCAGGGACAGAGAACAGCCCCTGCTTTGCCTCARGTGCTGCAAAGACACAACATCAGCTGTGATTGTCCTGGCACTGCCCCTCTCAAAGCTCATCCACACCATACTTTCTGCTTCACCTTCAACTCTTCAGGCAGCATCAAACAAGAAAGTTTTCTCTGCTTTACCTTTGCAGAATCAGCAACCCAAAGAGGCTATGCACTCTCCATCCTTGAAGGTTTCCAACCTCCAAATGCGCAAAGCCCTGAGCAATCCATCTGACTCAAAGCTGACCCTGCTTTAAAGAGGTCCCAACCAGAGACCTCCTGAATTTTCTTGCAGAACAAATGACTTCTTTAGCTATAACATTTGTACAGATGCTTCAGATGTGAGTTGAACAATGATCTCCCATGCAGCCGTGGAGAGGGGCGTGCAGAAGGATACATTCATCCAGCTCCTCAGGAATCTCAAGAAATCATCCTGCTTGACTGCCTGCCTCCATGATCCCACAGTCTGGCACTTGCTGACCAGTGTAACTGAAGGAAGATGGGCTGGGAGCAGAGCCCAGTTTCCCCTGGAGCTCTGAGGAGCCCCACAAGTTCCTGGCTCAGGTGGAAAGCCAAGCTGCAGAGCACTGCCTGGTGATAGGGGCACAGGGACTTATGACTGCAAAGCATGGCAGTCCCTCCAGGCTCTCAGGCCCTCCAGTGTGTTTGAACAGCTTTTGGAAAATCCAGGTAGCTTAAGGCCACAGAGATACAACACCAAGGGTTTCCCACTTTGATCACTTGTTTGGAAGCAGATCCAATCCCTGGGGATCACAGGGTGGGAACAAAACAGAAGGTATTTGCTTCCAGGTGTTTGGTTTCTGTACCACCATGATTTCTCCTTCTGAGGGCTTCCCCTGCCTGCTGAGACTTGTTTTGCTCTGAGCAAGCTGCACAAGGCCATGAATGAARCATTTCTTCTAGACTTCTCTACCTCCTTCCTGGTCCCTCTTCTTGCTCTTGGTGGAGCMTTTCAGAAGCATCAACAAAGCCCTTCAAACACAATGGCATTTATAGTTCTCTAGTTGTCATATGTTGTGGAAATGTCCCTCTTTTGCTAGGTTTGCACAGAACAAGTCCCCAGCACTCGACAATGAATATCAGAAAGAGTGAGGGAGAAGGTGTTTGATCTATCTCAGCTCAGCAGTCTGCAGCATAAATGGTCAATATGAGTCACACCTCCTAATGTATCACTGCGKGGCAGAATTTTACAGGTGGAACAGAGTACGATATTAAAAAAAGACACTATTTGCTAWTTTTGCAATTTGGCCATTCACTACAAACCTGAATATCCATTGCTGATGCCAACGTGGCCTTCACACTCTCTGCCAGTGAGAAATCTCCATGTTGAACAGTCCTGTGAATGATGTCATTGCTGTTCACCACAGTAACAAGTTGAATTGGGAGACCCATTTTCTGGGCAATACAGCCAGCTAGGAAAGAAAAGTGAAAAAAAACTTGTGCTTGATGAAGAAATATGAAGAAGATTTAGCAAAGAAGTCATCATACAAACTGATTTGATGTCTAGTTCAGAAACAGACACCAAATAATATTCCCTAGTGGACTCCAAGATATCTGCGTTCAATGGTTTGGTAGAGCACAGATTACAAAATCCAGGGATGCAATGCTCCACCTGCCATTGAACACAGACCCTTGGGCATCTCCACATTTTCTGGAGGATAGCCAGGGYRCYRAGARCTCAGGCAGCTGCCAGGCAAGCAGRAGAGATGAAGATTTTGGGCTTTTGCAGCTCATTAATGTTGCCTCTGATGGGCAACCTGGAGGAGCAGTGAATGTATAAAAAAATCCCTTATTGCTTTCATGAGACAGTTCTACACCTATTTTGGGACTAAGGAAATCAAGGACTCTCATTTAGAAGGCCAGGTTATGCAATTAAGAGTGGTTCTCCTGACCGTGCATTACCACACAAACCAGAGTAGRACCAGGCAGGACTCCACACCTCTGTTAATGTCTCACTTAAGAAATCAGAGCCACAGTATTTTCCCACTTTTCTGCATCAAACACATTCTGTCCTCTCCTAATGTGCCCATCCTCAAGATAGTTACAGTCATCATCAAAGGGTGGTTTGGGTTTTTCTGCACCTTGCAAATCATCAGTGACACCTAAATTGAGCAATAACCATACATGAGTAATAAAATATAAGTGGTTCTGAAGAAATCCTGCCAGAGAGTGGGTGTTTTAATAAATAGCAATACCCAGTATMTGTGAAGTGCTTTTGGTCCACAGATCACAGCATTCTCTCTCTCTTATCTAACCCATCTTTTTTTTCCCTTTACCTGTAATATTTCCTCCTCCTCCTGTTGGCACAACGATTTCCACCACTGGCAGAGGGGTGGTATCGAGGGATGGGGCACAGTGAAAGTAAGCATAGAAGTAGTGAGCAATCTGCACCATAATCCTGGACCAATTGACAGAATTCAGGCTCATCAGGTTGTATTTTCCAGCAAAATCGACATCAGCAAACAGTTCCTTGATCGGCTCATCGATTTCATCGCTGTTCCCCTGAGCTGCCAAAAGGAGAAAGGAAATAATAGATCTGCTCGCAGCAGTGCATCAGGCACGAGGTATTTCTGCTCAGAAATAGGTTTGGTCTCAAGCCCTGGGGTTTACTTTGGCCAGGAGTGTCCCAAGCTGCCTGTCTGCCTTAGGGGCTGTATGAACCAGGGGCTGAATGGCAACCAGTGGATGTCAACTGATTTCTGTAGATGTGGCACTCTGGGCTCTTGCTTTCACCAAATATATACTTTGCCAGGGAGGCAAATGCTGCATCACCTTATGAGATACCAAGGTTAGATCTGGCTGAGCAGAGGAGTCCATGGGAACTCACGCAGATCAGCACCCAAAGGAAATGCCTATGCACGGGGATGGCATGGTGGTAGGGGATGGATTGTGAGAGGACAGAGGCAAGGGGTGACTAAATCCTTCTAGTGACAAAAAAATGGTGCTGAATTTAGTGCAGCCAAACACCAATCACCTGCATGGAGGCAGCTCTGATCTGTGGCCAGGAGAAAAAGAAGCCTTGAACTACTTGGTTGTCAAACCAGAGATGTTCTCTCCTGTTAGCCAAATGTCTGGGCATGGTGATGGCAATGACCCACCTGGCTGAAGCTTCTAAAACCACAAATCCCACTGGACACCCCCGAGACTTTTAGGGTCAAGGTTTTGACCCAGCAAGGCCCTAAATTGCACAGTCTAAACAACAATGCCAACCAGCAAAGACGTGGACGTTGTCTTCAATGACGGTGGTCATCTGAAGTTCCTGTATCTGGGTGCAGAACCCCTTGGGCAGCAGAACAAAGATGTCCATGTTCTTCTGCCCTCTCACGCTCTCGATGGCTGAGCTCCCCGTGTCCCCTGAAGTCCCTGTTTTAAAGTGAGGAAGCGCCAAGAGAAGCAAAAAATTGATGTCAGTCAAACCTGAATTGCTATACTTTAAGAGAAAGATGCAGAGATGCTGCATGACATGTTTTTGGCCAGAGCAGCCACCCTGGCATTACCTGGAGATCATGAGGCAATACCACCCTAGGGCATGTATGGCTGTGGGATGATGGCTCTGAAGGTAAAAGCCTCCCCAGAAATCTTACCCCAAGGAGTCATACTCACCCACCAGAATATTGACATGCTTCTGCTTTTTCTCCAAGAAGTACTGTAAAAACTGTCCTGTGCAGGACAAAGACAGGTCCTTAAATGCATAAGTAACACCATGCCAGAGCTCCAAAACATTCAGCCCATCTTTCAGCCTGGACAGATGCACAACATCCTTGTGTCTGAACCTCTTGAAGGCCCTGTCGATCAGGTCTAGAAGGAAAATGGTTAAATGGYCTGTTAGATTGGGTAGAGGAGTGTTTTTGTCACCCATGACTTCCTGTGTCTGTGCTCTTCGTGTTCTTTGTTACCTTTCTGCACAACCAAACGCTCTCAGTTGCTGGAGCAGTGACAGATATCAAAAAAGTTATTTGAGGTATTAGGAATGAACCAGCCCAGCTTCGTGGTGTTTGATAATTCTATGCTAAGTAACCCTAGGGTACATGCTACATAATCAGAGCAAACTGTGTTAAAATGTAAAATACAGGAAACATGAGTTTTATCTCAATGTGCTGTTGAGACAGAGGTTGCAGCTGCCCTCTGGTGGAAGAGATAGCTCTTAAGTGTTAAAAACACTAAAGAACAGATGTCAAGGCAAGCGTGAAGCAGCAGAAAGCCCTGGAGAGAGCCCCAGCAGTGAACGGGATGATGATATCAACCTGTTGCATCACCAGAACCCCTATTTATACACAGAGGACACCTTTTCCACTAGTGCCAGCAAAGTGACAGAGGAGAGCACGCTACGGAAAGGAGCAGGTGATGGTGCAGCTCTGGGGGCTGTGAGAGGATGGAGGGAAGGTAGGCAGATGAATCAGAATCCCCAAAATCCTCGTGCACATCCCTGCGAGCAGCTCCCCACTCTGCTCACCGCTGAGYGCGTTCCGTGGGATCAGCTTGTCCGGGATGAAGAGGGAGCACAGCTCCTTGACCAGCTCAGGGTAGGGGAGACTGCTCCACCTTCGCAGGGTGTCCCTGTCCAGCCAGGGGATGCGCTGGGGCATGAAGAGGCCCCCATCGGGCGCGTAGCCGGAGAAAAGGGCTCCCTCGAAGTCCACGGCCTTCGTGCCTCCCCGAGTGCTGATATACTCCATGTCTGTTGGGAAATCACCACAGTCACTACCAAGAACCCAGAGCCTCCCACATCAGGAACAGRCCCTCATCCCAAACCGACTCCCTCCAAACCTCCCCTGTGGATAGACAAAACTCCCCAGGAAAAAAACCATCCCCTCCCAAAAACAATCAGAGGGAGCTGGCACAGCTCAGCGGAGGGCACACAGCATTTTGCAGGAGGTGGAAAGGTTGCCTGGGATTTGTGCCAAGGTTGGAGCCTCCTTGTCCCAGGGAGGGAGACTCGTCCCGCCCCAGGAAAAGCCCTCACGGCGCCGAAGTCGCTGCACAAGTGCGTCATGTCCCTTCGGGGGCTGTTCGCAAAAGCTGGAGCTTCAAATTTAAAAACACAAATAAAAGGAAATCGCTGTGTTTTTAGAGCAGGCTGATTTCGTTCAAAGGGGTTAAASTAAGGACAGGATTTGACGCGGCGTAGGAAGGGCTGAGCAAAAAGCTCCGCGTTCGCGCAAATGCCGCCGAGCGGCCGCCTCTCCCCCTGACCCGCTGAGCCCCTCAGCCGCTCCCACCTCACTCGGGGAATGGCCACCGCTGCCAGCCAAACAGCGGGGAATGGCCACC